CAGACGGTGACTGCCTCTCTGAAAGAATAGTGCCTGGGGTCTTAAAAGCTTGTCTCAAAACAAGCAGCCATTTCAGTGAGGCGTCGGTTAAGACCATGCAGAAGAAGCCCACCAGCTTGTGTGACTCAAGGATTGTCAATGAAAAAATATAAGACTGGAGGAGTGCTTAAATTTTGAGCACTCCATTTTCAAAAGGCTATATAGATGACAGTGAATACTCAAAATATATTTGCAGAGTCCCCACAGGGCCTAAGGCTGTGGTGAATCCCCTCTGATAGTGACTAGATATCTAAATAGCCTTACCCTCAGATAGAGTGCACTGGAAAGTGGATTAATGCTGGCATGAGGTTAAAATCTAACACCTTATCATTTGTTTTCACTTTTGATGCATTTTAAATTTGTTCCAGTTTTTATCATTTTCTGCTTTTTTGTTTTGTGGGTCTTTTTGCTTTTTTGTATTTTTGGAATTGAAGTTTTTGTTGTTGGATGTTTTTTTCTTTTTGTATGATTTTCTTTATAGGTAAATCTTTAGAGATAATAACTAGCTTAATAGTTTCTTAGGGTTATGGCAGGGAAGGTTGGTGGGGGTGGTAGAAATGGGGAGTTACTAATAATGAGTACAAGAAATAAGAAAATGTTCTAAAACTGATTGTAGCGATGATTGTATAACTTTTTAATAGATAAAAACCACTGAATTATATAGTATGAGTTATTATGTCAATAAAACTATTAAAAAATTAATTAGTTGTACCATAGCCTCTCTCATAGCCTTTTATAATTATTTTATTATTGTTAGTTATTTAGACTTTCTATGGTTTTAAGGACTAATGCTGAGGTAAGAATCTTTGTAATTGAATCTTTGCTTGAGATGATGGTGTTTGGGCCCTTTTTCCAGAATGCAGCAGGGCTGGTTTCCAGGATGGAATAGGTGACCTAATAATGCCTGTGGTATAGTAAAGGCTACATGCTTCAAACTCTAGGACTAAGCCCCCAGTTATTTGCGCAACAGCAGGGGACTTAAAATAGCCTTCCTGCCACAGTAGGGCTAGAGCTGCATTAGCTAGTACACAGAATCCACTTATAGATGCGCTTGACCGCCAGCAACAGCCAAGTCTATTTTAAGTCACATTACTAAATGGAACAGATGGGTGAAGGAATGTGTCAGAAGTCTATTTTTTCTCTAGTTTGGAGAGATCAAATAGGTAAGACCAGAGATGACTGATCCGAGATACCTGAGCAAACAGAAATACTGTAAAGTTACTTTCACAACAACTATGTGGCCAGGGGAGCAAGTAGCCAAACATTATTAAAATTAGTTTAACCTCTAGTAGGACAAGATGTATACTTCAAGGCATAATATTCTTACAATTAGATTGTAGAGAATGATATGGATGTTGAAAGGAAAAGCAGCTATATAGTAGCAGCATGTACTCTATCAATGATCCCAAACTAACTTGCTAACTTGTGTTTGAAGTCTGATCAAATGATCCATTCCTTACCATACTTTTGTGATCCAGCAAAGAAAGAACGTGTAAGAACAAAGGGCCTCTCCTTCCCTTCTGACCGCTTTATCAGTCCTTCTGCAGTAGCCATTTGCTGTAAAGGCCAAGAAGAACAATTTCAAAGAGATGACTGGATGAGGACATTGAGTAGGCTGCAGATATCTGGAAGAAAGCTGGTTCACATGCATAAAGTCAACAGCAGGTGGGAGTCTAAAATATTAAAGCAATCCATCAAATAATTTTCATGATGCAATGAAATGACTCAATCTTCCTAAAGAACAGAAAAACGTCTTTTATTAACAGGATGACAAAAGTTAAGTGGCCCTGGACTACATAAGCAATTTGCTATCCAGTCAGCAGCTCCCACGAGAAAATCCTAATTGGTGGGAGAGTCTTGGGAACATGAATACAGTTACATTAAAAAAATAACATATTATAGATGTGACCACCAAGCCTTTTGGAGTTAATTGGTAAATGAAAG